GAGCACTTTTCTGGGTCCTAAGCATTGCTCCTTCTGTAGCGCAGAGGAGAAAGTTGCCCCTTCACAAACAAAGTCTTTTGCCAAGAATACCACTGCCCCACCAGCTGAATTGGCACAGTTGTGCGCCTAAAGAGTGTTAAAGAGGTTTGGACACTCTGGCTGATCACATGAAGTTATTTTTTTAGAAAACAGAATTGGCAGTTTTCTAACAGTTGGTTCAGAGAAAACAAACAGGAAACCCCTCACCTACGTCCTCATTCTGGGCGTGAGAGATACTCTCCCTTTCCCTAGGAAAAGGTGTGTTTGATTGACCTGATAACTTAGACACTCGCAGAAACTACAGAAGGCTCTGGAGCTACATGCTTATGCCAAGAAAAGCTATCATTTGGGAGGCAGGGGCAGGCATGTCTCTGTGAGTTTGAGGCCAGTCTGGTCGGCAGAGCAAGTTCCAGGGCAGCCAAAGCTACACAAACTCTTATCTAAAAAAACTAAAAAAAGAAAAAGAGATACTGTCATCCTACTGTGCTGTGACGGGCCTTGGTCCTGGAAACGTCCTCCTGTTTGCGCACACAGATGTGCTATCAGGCAGAATGGGAACTGCAAGGCTTCCTTCCTTTAGAGTGAGGCCTCGTCGCTGGGGTCCTCTGCAAGCCAGCAGCAGCACAAGCAAAGTCAAAACTAATGCTTACTCCTGGCCTTGTTATCACACATTTATTTGGTTGTATGTGCTAGAAACAGTCTTCTACAGCTCAGGCAAACCTAGACCTCTGTGTAGTCCAGGATAGCTTCAGACTTAGAATCCTCCTGCCTCAAACTTCCAAGTGTTAGTAATAGCTGGTGTCATCATGATGAGTTACATTGTTGTGTTTACATGTATAGGTATTTTGCCTGCATGGATGTCTTTGTGACACTTGTGTCCATGATCGTTGCAAAAGAGGGCATCATCAGATTATCCTCTTAAACTGGAGTTACAGACAGTTGTGAGCCACCATGTTAGTGTTTGGAATCGAACCAGGTCCTCTGAAAGAGCAACCAGTGCTCTTAACCACTGAGCTATCTCTCCAGACCCATTTGTTGTTGTTGTTTTTTGGTTTTTTTTTTTTTTTTTTTGAGACAATCTTAGATAGCCCAGACTGGCCTGAACTTGGAGTACAGTCAAGGATGACTAAATGTCTGGTCCTCTTTCCTCCCTCTCCTAAGTGCTAGTATTATAGATGTGCATCCCCTCCTGGCTTACACATTGCTGGGATAAACTCAGAGCTTCATGTACTTTAGGCAGGCACTCACCCCCCAGCCCCACATAATTTCTTTGAGAAACTGGATCTTCAGCATGGAGCAGCTTGAGAAGTGGCCACAATCAGCATCAAAGATCTGGTGATAAGAGCAGCAACATACAATACCAAAGGAAAATGAGGATCACTTGCTTTACAGCTAACCTCTGCAGGCACAGGCCTGGAAGGTAGCAGAGGACCTTTGGGGTCCAAGGTGCACACCTTTAATCCCAGCACATAGGAGGCAGAGGCGGACAGATCTCTGTGAGGCCTGCCTGGTCTATATAGCAAGTTCCAGGCCAGCCTGGGACTCTTGGTGGCTGACCTGGTTTACATAGTGAGGCCCTGACTCAAATCAAGGTCCATCTAGATGGTGGAAATGATAGCTCCTGGTATGACTTGCAAAGCATTTGTCACACAACCAAGGAGAACTGGATTGTGCTATCTCAATACAACAATAAAATTTAACAAGTTATAAAGATAGATAAATACAAAAACCTAGAGGGAAACACAGATCACTGACTCAGCACCTGAGATGCTGAAAAGGAATGGTTTAAGAAGTAGGGTCAGCCCAGGGCTCTAACCAGAGTGAAGGGGAGTCTGGTGTTTTGCACGCAGGGCAGGGCAGGGGCACGCTGACACTCCACAGGAGTTCTAGATCCCAGACCCAGAGCTGTCAAGTCCCAAGATACCTAGCATTTGGAGCTGGAGGCTGCAAGTGGCCACCAGAGCTTTAGCCATGATCTGCCACTTTCTCGGGTTTGTATTTGGTTGTTGGCCTGTTGCTCAGCACCTCCCATCATTTGTCGGTCTCAACTCTTGGGTGTCTGAGGCCACATGCATGCTACTTCTTCTCCGTAGAAAAGTCCTTCCTCTTGCAGCCCTGGGGTGGGAGAGCATGGCACTGTGGAAACTTGCTTTTCTTTTGTGTGCACCCAAGTTTGTCAAAAACTTTGGTTCCAACATGTTCCAGCTTGGCCTCAGTGGAAACCCAGGACAGGACAGAAGCAGTGACACACTCATGCCAGGCGTGTGCAGACACTGGTTTCCCACAGAATCTTCCAATAAAGGGAGTCCTTTTTGTCAAATGTCTCCACCAAGGGCAATGGCAATGGGAAGTGTCTACAGTCACATTCACTGTGTCACTCTAACCACATGGGAGGCTGAGGCAGGTAGAGTACCGGGCCAGCCAGGGCTATACCAAGACTCAAACAAAAATGTCAAAGTGAAAAGAGAACACAGCCCAAGAGAAATAGATCTTGATGCCAATTTTAACAGCGAAGCTGTTAGTCACCATCCCCATAGAGCTCAAGGATGACCTCTAATTGCTCATTTATTAAACCAAGGGAAGTAGGGCTGGCTCAGTGGTTAAGAGACTGACTGCCCTTCCAGAGGACCTGGGTTCAATTCCCAGCACCCACATAGTGTTGCACACCTGTCTGTAACTCCAGTTCCAGGAGATTGGATCCAAGGATCCAACACCTTCTTTTGACCTCCAAGAGCACCAGGCATACAAGTGGTACACACACATGCATGCAGACAAAATACCTATACACATAAATTTTAAGCCAGGCAGTGGTGGCACACACATTTACTCCCAGCAGTCAGGAGGCAGAGGCAAGCAGTTCTCTGAGTTCGAGGCCAGCCTGGACTACATAGTTTCAGGACAGCCAGGGCTACACAGAGAAACCTTGTCTCCAAAAGCCAAAACAAATAATAATGTTAAAGCAGAGAAGGACATGGGCTGGAGAGATGGCTCAGAGGTTAAGAGTACTGACTTCTCTTCCAGAGGTCCTGAGTTCAATTCCCAGCAACCACATGGTGGCTCACAACCATCTACAATTCAATCTGATACCCTATTCCAGTATGTAGGTAGAACACTGTATATGCAATAAAGAAATAAAATCTTAAAAAAAAAAAAGCAGAGAAGGACTGAGATGGGTTCTAAACCACTAGCAGTGACATCCCCCCAGGCAAATGAGGTTGGAAGGCCACAGTGAAGGTTTTTTTAAGCCATAGCCTGTGAAGGCTGGGAAAGCGAAGAGCTGCTGGGTTGTATTCCAGAGGCATCGCTGTCTGACAGAGCTCTCTGGCTCACATGCTCACTTCTAGGACGAAGTACAAATCTAAATGAGCAACAGACTCATTAGTTTCTAGTCTTTGATTTTGTGGGACCCTGAATCTGTTCAGGTGACGCAGTGGGTGATTTTACTCTCCTCAGGCGGCTCTCAGTGTGGATATCCAGGTCCCCCTCCGTCACTGACAAACACATGCCAGACTGCTCTGCTCCTGGCAGCCAGCCTTCGTCCACCTGGCCCAAGTGTGTGAAGTTCATTTCACACAAGTGCACACATATATACACAAGGAAGAGATTTCCTTTCTCATTGTGTACTCAGTATTTGTTTTTCTTAAGTCTGGTTTCTAAGTTCTGAAATTATTGTTTCTGAAGATCTGTGTACTCTCCTAAACTGACTGGCATCACTAAACGTGTTACAAACAAGAGCCACGATGGGGTATCATGAAGCACACAGGCCGCAGACAACAGCCTCATCTCCTTGCCACCATAACCAGTGCCACCATGATTGGTGCCCAGAACCTTAGAGCTCAAGTGGGCAGCACAGGGCAACATTTTACTACACATGGCAAAGAATTCACCAAGAGGCAGTTATTTCTGCCAGTGCTCAGCCAGTAGTCCCCATCAATCCTAGAAAAGCTCAGAGAAAATCCTTACCTTTTTCAAAGATTTATTATATACACAGCGCTCTGCCTGCATGTATGCCTGCAGGCCAGAAGAGGGCACCAGGATCTCATTATGGATAGTTGTGAGCCACTATGTGGATGCTGGGCTGGGAATTGAACTCAGGCCCTCTGGAAGAGCAGTCAGTGCTCTTAACCTCTGAGCCATCTCTCCAGCCCAGAGAATCCTTACCTTTAACACCATCAATAGGTGGACCTTTTTATTAAGGTCACATGTAGCCCAGGCTAGACTTGAACTCAGTATCAGCTGAAATTGGTCCTGAACTTTTGACCCTTCAGCTTCCACCTCACCAGTGCTGAGATTACGGGGCTGCACCACCACATCCGGTTTATGTGGTGTTAGGGATCAAAACCAGGGCTTTCACTACTGAGCCACATCCCGAGCCTGCACTGTGCCACAGGTTTCTCAGGAATCCTGGAGAGCAATTTCCTGGCTATAGCGCGACCAACCTGAGTACCTCCTGTCTGAAGCTTTAATGCTCACTTCCTATGGCCTGATACACACTTTCATGGGAAGTCCTCTGCTGGGCATGCTCTGTACCTCATTCTCATTTCAAGCTTGGGAAGAAATACATAAAAGAATAAAGTATTGGGTAATTTTATAGGTGAGTCAGCCAACGGGTGGTAAAAATATGATGAAAAGAAAGGCAGACAGCTTAGCTGAGGAAATAGAGAAAACTCAGTATAATCAGAATTTAAACTGGGAGGCCTGGAGATTTAGCTCAATGATGCAGCCCTTGCCTAGCATGGATGACACTCTGGATTTCACCATCACCACCAAAAACAAAGAAAAGTGAAAGAGAAGGCTGGAGGGAGCATCGGAGAACTGAAGGCGACAATTGTGCTGTGCTGGCCCCAAAACTTAAGGCCCTCAAGTCAGCTCTGCTTCCCGAGATTCTGGCTGGCCAGCTACCTACATGGAAGTAAGTAAACTGAAGGGGTGCGGGAAGAAACCACACAACTCAGACTTCATTCAATGGAAAAGCTGTTTTATTGGGGGTTGTATACAGAAAGTACATTTTAAAGTGAATCACCTCCATTTTTGTTTCTAAGCCTCAGAAATTTGACAAAAGATTAGAATGGAAGAAGGCGAGGCTGCGTTTAGGAGACAGCTAAGTCTCAGTACAGAGCTCAGCTCACGGTCACTGTGTTGCCAAGGCCTCTGTGACTGGCAGCCTGACCTCCATTGCCTGGGGACGTTTGTCTTGACTACCACTCTATCCTGGTCACTGGGGACTACAGCTAGGAAACACAAAGATGTGTCCTTCATCTCAAGCCACCAAGAATGTCATCCCACTGCTCTGACTCCAGACACCACCGGCCCCAGCTTCTGGGGGTTCAATTTCCTGAATTCAGTATGTAAGACCAAGGCAGCCCCTACTCTTACTGGCCATAATGGGCCTGCCATTGATGAGTCCAGCTGTGGCACTCTGTTCCACTGCTGTCCATGGTGCAGGCATTTACCTAATGGTGAGACTAAACAGAAGGAACTGGAAGGGGGTTCAGAACAGACATATCAGCTGTCAGGTAGAATACCAATACCACCGCCTCAGAGCAAAGCACGATTGCACTACAACCTAGAAGCAATGTGCAAGGCAGTTCTTCAAGTCTGAAAGCCTTCTAGAAACAAAGAGAACGCAGGCACGTGAGCAGCCTAGGAGAGTCTAGAAAATCCGCTAGCCAGCTGGACAAAGCTGTATATACTTCCAGGAATTTAATTTTTAATCTGCCTAGCTATTTTTTCCTCTGCAATACTGGGGACCAAGCCCAGGACCTCAAGCATGCTAAGCAAGCACTCTCCCGCTAAGCTACATCTCTGGCCCTCAGTGAATTTTAAATTGAGGCCTGCAACATGATTCCCATTTCCTCCACAGAAATCTGAGAGTCCAGCAGCCGGGGCGCTCCAGCGAGGCCGTCGTTAGCGCGGTCCTTTGGTGGCCATCAGCAGTGAGGACCAAGCATAGAGTGGGTTCAGATAGAAGGAGAATCTGGCTTGCCTCAGAAGGACAAAACTGGGTGGGGGTAGGGCAAAAGCCAGAATTACATCGAAAAACCAGAATTACTCTGCTAAAAAAAAAATCAGATTATAAAATCCATCACTGTCATTATTATAACAACATAAAAGGCATTTCAAGAAAAGTTTGGCTTGGATGACGCTGATGAAATTTCAGAAAGTTTGCTGTTTATAAATATGTAAGTATGTACATGTACTTTTACAGCAATGGCTTCTAGAAGAACCAAGACTTCTTTGAAGCCCTTGTAGACACGTCCCTTTCCATTCCAGCTGCTTCTATGCTGCAAACACCAGGAATCTCAAGAGCTGACATGGTTGAGTCAACTCCACCCTGGCCTCCTTTTTAAGCCTGTCCCCAGGGGTGGAAATGTGGTAGATCTGCGTTAGAGTTGATGCTGGGGAAAAAAAGAGAAGAAAAAGTTATATAGCCATTGAGACCCATGAATCAAGTTTATTTTCACACATTCAAATAAAGCAGTAATGGAATATTTATGTTCGACCAAGATGGCAAGTCTACTCAGAAATTATTAATATTTGACTACATAAGAAAATGCAGCTAAACGCTGAGTGCACGATCCATTTGGAAAGCAGAAGCTTACTTCCCTGACTTGTGGCTTGGTGTCTATAAGTGTTCATAATTTAAGTGATAACAGAAATACTTAAAATGCTACTCCTGCCACCAGCCTCTGCTCTCACACTCACTGTTCTAGATTCAACACAGGTGGTAATTTGCAGTGTTCCACACTGAGTCAGGGCACTTAGGAGATGTGAAGGTCACATATTCCTGGAGTTCACAAGATGAGTATCTGTAAAAGTGAGTTTGCAAACAGTGGTGACCTGGAGCCTACAGATTCCTTCCTGGTGCCCTCTAGCACTTGTGGTAAATTTAAACTTAGCTTTAGAAAACTTTTAAGGAGGGTGTGAAGAAATCACTGACTGTCACCTTGTGTTTGAATGGATTCCCTTAACACTGAGCAGTGTGAGTGAATCAACAAAGTCTTTTTAGTAATCAGAGATTTCAAGGTATGACCTATTTTCTAACTAAGCCAAAAATGCTCAGCAAAGACCAGTTTTTCTCCTCTTGGGAGAAGGTAGTATGACCAAAGAAACAACTTGCAGTCCAGAGGAAGGCATCCCAAGCCATTTCACTCAGTTTCTTTTTCTTTTTAAAAATTATTTCATGTATACAGGTATTACATGTCTGTGCACTATGTGTATGCCCTACCAGAGAAGGTACCAGGAAAGTGAATTAGATCCCCTGGGATTAGGGTTACAGAAGATTGTGAGCCACCATGTGGGTGCTGGGAATTGAACCAGGATCCTCTGAAAGAGCAACCAGTGCTTTTAACCACTGAACTGTCTCTCCAGCCCCTTGCTCAGACTTTCAACTAGATAGACGCAGACTACTGTCTTTTCCACACGGTACTGTCAGGTGATTTACCCATCCTGGAGTTGGGACTACAACAGGGTCATACTTTTTCTTCCTTCTCCTTCAACAGGATCTGCATAGCCCAGGTTTCTCTCCAGCTGGCATTGCAGCTAATAATGACCCTGAGCCCCTGACCTTCCTGCCTCTACCTCCAGAGTGCTGGGATAAAGGTGTGGACCCCCATGTCTGGTTATGGCTTCCATGAAAACAGCTGGCAGAGACTGCACAAGCGGAGAAGAACTCCTGACATGTAGGCACAGCTGCTTTCCTGCTTTTTCACATCGTTACCTGAGGTCACGTTGACACTGCTGTTTTTCCTCATGGGATACACATGTTTTCAGAAGAATCAAATTATGACATTTACAACTTCTTCTGTGAACCAACAATGACAACTTTTTTGTCACTCATTCTTGCTTTGTTTTGTTTTGCTTTTTTTTTTTTTTTTTTTTTTTGAGACAGGGTCTCTCTACGTAGCCCTGGTTGACCTGGAACTAGTTACGTAGACCAACCTCACTTCAAACTCACAGAAATCCACCCACCTCTGCCTTCAGAGTGCTGGGATTAAAAGCATGTGCCACCTTGCCTTATAACTCAGGGGCAGGGGCTGCAGGCTGCAGGTGAGTTCCAGGGTGGGTATTAAGACAGCCAAGGCATTTGCTCAACATGCTTGTGCTGAGTGTTCTCTCTCAAGAACCCACACTCCAACTGTTGAGCAAATACCACCTGTCACACTCACTCCTCAGACTAAAAAGAAAGAGAGTTGGACAGAGATACACCTGCCCAAAAGTGTCAGGAGGGCAAAATGTATTTTTAAAACTACTCCAGAGAGTTTACATCTAAGTCATCAACGTTGTCTGGCCTAGAGGTGTCAACAATGCTGAGTGGTTCATTTCCTCATGCCAGCTAACTCTAAAACCCAACTAAACTCTAAGTTTAGAGCAAAGGATCAATTCTGGCTGGCACAATGACAGGGCTTTTACATTTCTGGCCTACTACTCCAACTTCATCTGACATGAAAGGAAGGACAAACTACTTGGAAGACCCCAGGGCTCTCTGCAGAGGACTCTCAAGAGATGGCCTGCAACAGCATGAAAGCCAGTCACAGTTTATAGATGACTTTTCTCAGGAGGGGCTTATCTACACAAGTTTTTGTTTGGTTGGGGTCACATGATACTACCCAACCTAGACAAGCACTCTACCACTGAGCCACAACCCCAGGCTCCTAGAAGAATGCGTGTTGTAAGTTTACACTGCTATTTATCCACATGTGTGTGCTGATGTGTGGGCAGGTCACAGCATATGTGTGGAGGTTAAAGCCAATTCCAGAAGTCAGCTCTCTCTCTCCACCATGTGAGCTCCAGGGATTGAACTCAGGTCATCAGGCTTGCTGGCAAACACCTTTATCCGCTAAGTCATCTCACAGGCCCAAGACTGATACCTGTGACTAAGGACAGAAGACAAACGAGGAAGAATATTCTCACTTGGTCTCCACACATGGTCTCCTTCAAAGTCCTAGAGTACGGTGTCATTTGTACAAACAATGGCTTTCCCATGTGAGCATTAGTCCACCCTTTCCACATTGTAAGTATCGACAAGATGTTGACTTGTAGTTCTGTGTGGGGTTTACAGGCTGCAGACAGAATTTGAGATGCCTCTGGGAAGCCCCAGGACACAGTGGCCTGGGTTCACACTGGTTAGATCATGTCCCTCTGTGCTAAGCTAAGACTAAGGAGCACATGAGGGAAGCCCTGCATAAGCTCAAGTTCAAGTTCACTAGCTGCCAGAAAATCCATACCCCACAGAAGCCGTGCTTTACCAAGCTTGATGCAAGTAAATCTGAAGACTTGGCAGTTGAAAAGTAGGTCACCACCCATGTCTGTGGCATCCCAGCAGGCCCTGAACTCTCGGTTCTTACATGGTTACACTATCTCCCGAATAATTCTCAGCAGTAAATCTTATACTTTCCCCAAATAAATAATTTGAAATTTTATATGAAAAGCCTAGACAGACATTGAAGGGACTTTAGGAAACAAGGGAGCAATTCTACTGCCTGACGAGACCAGGGCAGACGTAAGAAAAACAAATATTCTGGGGTACTTAGCTGAGACCCCATTCTCCAAAGTTCTTTCTGCCTCTCCCCAGCCCCAGGGATCCAGGATCTAGAAGTAAGACTCTAGGGCAAAGCTCACTGTTTACTAGGCCACAGCAATAAGACTAAGACTAAGCCCGGGGACCAGAACACAGCTGTGGTGTCTGGACATTACCCCACCACATTCCTTATCAGCAAGTCAGAGAGTCCACACAAGTTGGGTCCAGCCCTAACCTGCTGAAGCAGGGATACTCGGTATGAATTAATCTAAAATGAAGTACTTCTAACTTTAGCACTCTAAGCAAGCTTTTTTAATAAGCAAAATAAGCCAAATCTGGGGGCTTATTCCTATAATCCCAGAAATAGGGCGGCAGAGGTAGGAAGACCATATCGATTTTAAGAACATTCTGGTATACATATTAAGCTCCAGGCCAGCCAGGGCTGTAGTCTCAAAAAACAAAAATAAAAACCAAACCAAACCAAACCAAAAACCCCTAAATAAGTAAAAGAGTAAATAAAAAAATAAATAAACAGCTGTTCCTGGGGGCAGAGATCTGTCATCTAAACCACCAGGGAGGCAGAGGCAGGGGGATTGGAAGCCCAAGGCCTGCCTGGCTGAAGGGCAAGATCAGCCTGGGCAAGACCCTGTGCGAAGAAAGAGAAGAAGAAAAGCACTACGTAGAGCGCAGGGGCAGAGCACTGGCCTAGCACACACCAAGCTCTAGGTTCAATTCCCATTAACACAAAACAATACATTTTACCGACGAGAGAAAACACGATACTTGTTTTTCTGAATTCTAGCTTATCTTGCACAACGTGATCTCCATTTCTATCCATGAACATCCAACTTCATTTTTCTTCATATACAACAGAATTTCGTTGTGTACGTGTATGGACTGCATTTCCATATCCATTCACCTAGCATGCCCGCAGTGCAGCCGTAAACACGGATGTGTAAAATCTCTTTGCCGTGTTCACTCAGAGTCCTTCAGGAGCAGTACAGCCGCAAATGTTTGTAGCTTTGGAGGATCCTCCTTACTGATCCCCAGCTTATCTAGCATAAAGGACCTGGCTTCACTCCCTGGCATCAAGAGAAGTATCCTGGACAAACCAAGGAGACTGAAATACCCGTGTGTTACTCCACCAACAATGCACAGTTTATCATGCTGAGTTGTAATCTAGTTCTGAGAAGGTTTACACCAACTGTGAGGAAGTAAAGGACTTAAGATGTGGAGCCGGAAACAAGGAAGTTCAAAGGCAGTGTGATAACAGTGGCAAGGCTGGGACTGCCGTGCCGAGCCATTACCTTTTTCATTAATTCACCTCTGGTTGTAAAGTGTGGCAGGTCTTCCACTTCAATCCCATTAGCCATTTCCATCACCTTGTCCAGAAGGTCTTTATTGTAACTGCACAACAAAAAGCAGTAAGGTAAAAACCTGGGAAGAGTCACTGTCACTATGAGCTAACAAGAAAGTGTAGGTTCTTAGACTGCAAACGCAACTCCTAGACTACAGAACTGTTTTCCATTGGTAAGGTCATACTATGCCATCTGAGGGTTAAGCAATGTTCCTTTCGGCCTTCTCGGTAGCTGGGACTACAGATACACACCACTATCTGGTTTTGCAAGTCGCTGACTTCATACTGCAAGGAAAACTACAGTGTTCAGCACATGGTTAACAAGTGGCTCTCCCCACCTGTGGATACAGCTCTAGGCTTGAAGAATGCCAATATAACAGATGTCTGAAGAATTACAAAAACAGGGACTGGAGAAACGGCTCAGTAGCTACGAGCACTTGAGGCTCTTTGCAGAGGACCTGGGTTCAGTTCCTACATGGCTATAATTTCAGTTCTCAGAAATCTGATGCCCTCTTCTGGCATCTGAAGATACTGGGTACATATTTGTTACCTATCCATACACATAAAATAAAAATAAATAAAAAAATATTTGTTAAAAAAATGACAAAAACAGGAGCAGTTAAGAGCACTGGCTGCTCTTCCAGAGGATCTAGTTTCAGTTCCCAGCATCCATATGGTGACTCACAACCATCTACATCTCCAGTTCCAGGGAACTCAAAGCCCTCTTCCGGCCCCCACCACCATGGGGCACTCAGAGTGCAGACAGACATGTAGACAAAACACACGCGCGTATAAAATTTAAAATAGCCGTAAATAAATAAATAAAATTGCAAAAACAGGAGCACCATACATCAGGTAGTACATATTCATGGATGAGATTTGAGGGCCAAAAATTTGATTTGTAAAACACACAGAATGTTGGTCTAATGTTGGTTCTCAGCTATTTGTATGACCTTGGCTCCTATAAACTAGGATTTTAGAGGGTGAAGGCAGAAGGGAGGGTGAGCCTGTGTGTGATGGGTGTGTCTGGCACAGCTTCCCCACATCTTGTTCTAACAAATATGCCAAGCTCTGAAGCCAAGTACTTTCAGGGCTGGAGATGTAGCTCAGTGGTAGAGTACTTATTTTTGACATGTCCAAGGCTGGGGTTTCATGCCTAACACGGAACCCAAAAAGCAAACTAAGGGGCTTGTCCTGAAGGGGCCATGTGACCAGCTAGAAGCTACAAAAATTTTAACACAATTTCAAGAAACTCTAGAGCTTGGAGATGCATGCTCAGTATATGGAATTCCAGGACTACCTGGATACATAATAAACTGGAGGCCAGCCTCAGTTATAAAGGACGATTGCCAAAAAAAAAAAAAAAAAAAAAAAAAGACAAACAAACAAAGCCTAAACCTAACAAAACAAAAAACCATAAGGGAGTGTAAGAACCTGGTGTACTTTCCATGTGGAGTAAAAGGAATGCCTTGCCAGGAATCTCAAGGCCAGGCTCTTGCCCCCCTGGTGTGATTGCAAAGGTTCAGGGAGGTTTTGGGACAGCAAGAAAAAAGCACCATTACTTTCTTTAGAAGGAAAGCAAGGAGGCAAATGAAGAGGTGAAGATTACATCGTGCCGACCAAAGGTGCAATATATCACATCCTCTTGCTGGGTGTCTTCAATTAGAGGAGGAGGGGGAAGTTTCAGTTTCTGTCTGCACTTTTGCCACGTGGATGACAGGAACTAATGGACTTCAAGCACTCTGCAAAGGCAATCTTCTGGGCTAATAAACAGTAATAAAAAATGACCATGGCAATACAGCCACCTTCGAGCCCACCTGCGTTGCACTCTGCATCATTTAACTGCTGCAGTCATCACAGCCATCCATTTACCAGGGGAAAGCGAGGCTCAGAAAGAGATACATCTTCCCCGAGGGAATGCTAAGAGGGGATCAGCCAAGGCAGTAGGAGGCTGGGCCGGGTTCAGCGTGGGGCAGCGTAGGGCCAGACTAAGGGTGGGCAGATGGGGTCAGCCGGCCGGCGGGGATCCGCACCTGCAACCCAGGAAGAGGTGGTTGGCCCAGACCATGGATAGGGACAGCAGCTGGTCCAGGCGGCCGCCGCCGTCGGGTGGGTCTCGGTAGTCGGGCAAGTGGCGCAGGATGAACTCCATGCGCGCTTTCCATTGCTTCTCGCTCTCCGAGTAGGAGCGGAACTGCTCGGCGAAGTCGGCCGCCTGCCGCACCCCGGAAACTAGCTCCTCTACTGAGATGGTGGCCTCGCCACCCACCATGACTCCCGCCGCCGCCGCCACCGAGGGTCGCACTTAGCCCGCCGCCTTCCCGACACGCCCCGCGCCGCCGACACGCCGCTAGAGAGGCTTCGGCCGAGCGCTACTGCTCAGGAGGACTGTTTGGAGCGCCCTCGAGGGGCACGGAGGCCTAGTGTACTCAGGACTGCACAGGCCGGTGCAGGCAGGGTCTGCTGTGTAGACAGATGCTGGGGAAACTGAGGCCCAAAAGCACGGGGTCGGCAGCTGGGTGCCCGCTGGGGCTCTGTGGTACCCCTTCTGCCACAGCTGAAGCTTGCCCTAAGTTCTGTGAATCGTCCTGGGAAGTGATGCCCTCTTTTTTATGGATCCCCTGCGGTTGTGCTCTGCCTTCCTGCAGAGTCATTCATACAACGAGTGCCCTCCAGGCACTTCGGTGCCCAGGATGCCCCGCTCTAAAGAACTTTGTGAGGGAAGTGGATGTTAGCGAAAGAATTGCCCAAATAAATGGGCCGTTGGCAAATCATAAAATAAGTCAGATTGCCACAGACCCGAAGAAGCAAGGTGTGGAGGTGGTGGTGGTGGAGAACTAAGTGAACAGCGCCCGAGTTAAACTTTGGAACCCACATGGTGGAAGGAGAAAACCAACTCCTGAAAATTGTCATTTGACCTCCATATGCTAGCTGTGTGGTACATGGGTGTCTACACACACACACACACACACACACACACACACACACACACACGCACACGAGAAAGAGAGAGGGGGGAGGGAGGAAGAAAGGGAGGAAGGGATGCAGGAAGGGAGAGGGGGAGAGAGAACAAATAAATAATTGTGAAAATACGGTTGGGTCAGAGGAAAGCCTAGAGCCCAGGATCTTGAGCTCCAGTGAAGGTCTTAAGTGGTGAATGGGCCCTTCATTATACGATGTTTGCTATTGCAGACGCTCCCGCTCCTCCAGGGTCTTACACCATGTAGCCCAGGCTGGGTTACAACTGCTTTCCTCCCTTCTGCAGCTTCTATTGCCATGTTAGGGCCCCAGCGGGTAGAAATACCATCCAGTAAACAAATGGCAGAGCAGTGTAGGGACAAGCACCGTGCTGTGTGACATGCCAGTCATTTCAGTAAGTCATGGTATTCATACTCTGACAGGGAGCATCTGAACCAAACATGAGAACCCAAAGACAGAAGCAACTTCTCCCCAGGGCTCAGGGATCTAATGATAACAGCAACCAGAGCTGAGTTCCCAAAGTGCTTGTGGCAGACCCTGACAAGCTTATTGCAGTGGCAGATTCCCAACTAAACCCCTGGATACTCAGAGTCAAGGTTCTAGGTAATTCTGATTCTAACTTTAGTGTGCCAGACTTTTGAAAACATTCAGTGTGCCGGGCGGGGTGGCACAGGCCTTTAATCCCAGTACTCAGGAGGCAGAGACAGGAGGATCTCTGTGAGTTCCAGACCAGCCTGGTCTATAAGAGCTAGTTCCAGAACAGTCTCCAAAGCCACAGAGAAACCCTGTCTTGAAAAACAAAAACAAAACAAAACAAAACAAAAAACCAATATTAAATCTTCTACTTTACAAACATGGTAATGATATATCTGCTCATTTATTTAGCCTTTGTAATGTGTGTGGTTTTGTTTTGCTGTTATTTTACTTATTTAGTTTTTAAATGAGGATCTTTTTCTGTAACCCAGAGTGTCCTTGATATCTCAACCTTTCTGCTTTAGTTTCCCAAATGCTGTGTGACTATTGTAGTGTGTGTGTGTGTGTGTGTGTGTGTGTGCGTGTGTGTGTGTGTGTGCACTCAAACACTTTTTAAAGGCAGGGTCTTATGTACTCCAGGATAGCCTCAAACTCCCTTTATGGCTGAGGCTAGCTTTGAAATACTGATCCTTCCGCCTCCACTTACCAAATGCTAGGATTGCAGGCATGAGCAACTACATCTGGCTTTATGGTTGGTTTGTTTGCTTTGGATGTGAGAGTTACCAGCAAACATGATTGGCAGAATGTAGAACTTAGCCCAGTGGAAGCCTTCAGGAGTGCAGGGTCACCACTGTTCCAGGAAATCATGAATGGGGATGTATTTGACCCCACAGACATGAGGGATGAGCTGCTTCTCAGCTACCACATCTTCAAATCCATGTGAACTGAACTGGGTGAAGCCCTTCTTCTTTTAAGATGTGGATCTTCTGGTGGCCAGGGAGCTTGAACCTGGCCTTTCCTAGGGCCTCAAATGCATGTTGCTTATGCTGCAGCTTAAAGCAGATGGACATGATGACCTGGCTTGTCTGAAACTGGCCACTGTGTCAGGTCTGGAGTGCAGTGTAGGGACAGCATGAGCTCAGAGACATGCATATCCACCAGAAAACAGTTTCAAAGACCCCTCAGGGCAACCCAAACAAGGTACAGGTTGCATACTCCCAAGGAGACTGTTGCTTGGAACTGTTGTACACAGGGCCCCATGAGTATAAAAACCTGGTCGATTTCGTTGACTGCAGAGGCAGTGTATTTTTAAGTCCCATGAGCCATTAGACTTATATACCCATTCCCACTTTGTTTGTTATTCCTTTATACCATCTGGTTCATTGTTGTTTTTTTTATTCAAAGTATCTATTTACTCACTGGAAATGATCAAAGTAGGAAAAGCAGTAATGTATCTTTTTCTTACATGGTCTCCTTAAGTTCCATTACATCAACCAATAAAGTAGGCTTAACATGTCACTTAAGATAGTTCAGCATCATCAGTTTTGAAAAAAGCATCCTCAATAACAAATCAAAAATATGTAACACTTCACAAATTTGCATGTCACCCTTGTCCAGAGGCCATGTTAATCATCTTTGTATCATTCCGATTCTAGCAAGTGTGCTGTCCAAGCAAGCACATGGTTTTATCTCTTTATCCATTCTTCGGTTGAGGGACATCTAAGTGGTTTCCAGGTTCTGGCTATTATGAATAAAACTGTTATGAACATAGTTGAGCATGTGTCCCTGTTGTATGATTGAACATCCTTTGGATATATGCCCAAGAGTGGTATAGCTGGCTTTTCAGGTAGATGGGCCTGGTTTTCTGAGAAACCGCCAAAGAGGCTGTACAAGTTTGCACTCCCACCCGCAGTGAAGGAGTGTTCCCCTTGCTCTACATCCTCTCCAGCATGAGCTGTCACTTGTGTTTTGAACGAAACACAACTTGAGAAAAAAAAAGTTAATGTAAAGATGCCTAATGAGCCAGGTAGTGGAAACACACACCTTTAATTCCAGCACTCGGAAGACAGAGGCAGGCAGATCTTTGTAACTGGAGGTTTCTTGTTCTGCTAGGTCCTGCCACCCTTCAGTCCCAAATAAGCACACAGAGACATATTAATTATAAAACTGTTGGCCCAAGGCTAGGCCTTCTTATTGGCTAGCTCTATCTTAATTATTAACACATTTCTATTAATCTAATATTTCCATGTGGTCTTATCTTACTGGACAAGGGTCTGGACCTGTTACTCCTTCCTCCACTACATGGTGTATCCTTGAGTTATCTCTCTGCTTACCTTTCCCAGAATTCTCCTCGTCTCCTAGTCTGCCTATCTTCCTACCGCTAATGACCAAACAGTATTTTATTCATCAATCAATAGGAGAGACATATATACAGAATAACATCTCCTATCAGATCTCTATGAGTTCGAGACCAGCCTGGTCTACAGAATGAGTTCCAGGACAGCCAAGGATACACAGAGAAACCCTGTCTTGAAAAACAAAATCAAAACCAAAACAAAATTTAAAATGCCTAACAATATTCTACTATACTAATAGATTAGTGCCTAGCCCAATTGTCATCAAAGAGGCATGATCTAGCAACTGATGGAGGCAGATGCAGAGACCCACAGCCAAACATTAGGCTGAGTTTGGGGGAATCCAGAAGAGGGCATTGGGTGCCCTGGAACTGGAGTTATAGGCAGTTCTGAGTCACCATGTGGGTGATGGAAACTGAACCTGGATCCTTTGCAAGAGCAGCCAATGCCGAGCATCTCTCCACAGCCCCCAACTGTTTTTGAGAAAGGGTCTTGTCATGTAACCAGGCTAAGATGGAGCTTGCTGTGTGGACCAGGCTAGCCTTGAACTTATTTAAATCTTACTCACTCTGCCTCCCCAGGTCTGGGATTACAGGTGGAAAATATCATGTCTTGCCCTTCTTGTTGTCATTGTCACTGTTTGAGACAGGGTCTTCTGTAACCCACCTCCATAGGTGTTGCTATCCTGTGGGTGTCTCCACAGTTTACCCCCAACTCAGCTTGCTCTACTGATGATAAATACCAAAGTATCAGCTCACAACCATCTATAACTCACTTTCAAGGGATCTGACACCCTCTTCTGACCTCCACTGGCACCAGGCATGCATATGGTGCTCAGATATACATGCGGGCAAAACACCCATACATATAAGATGAAAACAAATGCACCTTCAAACAAAAGTAAAGGGCTGGAGAGATGGCTCAGCTGTGTTGAGAGTGCTCACCACCCTTCCAGAGGCCTCGAGTTCAGTTCCCAGCAGCCACATCAGGGGGCTCACAACTGTCTATCAACGCCAACTTCAGGGGCTCCGACACCCTCCTCTGAGCTCCGCAAGCACCTGCACTCACATGGCATACACCCCCATAGACACACACACATAAAACAATACATGTAAACACACACATCCATATACACTTAAATAAAATTGTTAAGGTGGAAGACATGGAGATGGCTCAGTGGATAAGAGCCCTTGCTGTTCTTTCAGAAGACCAAGTTCAGTTCCCAGAAGCCAGACAGGTGCACTTGCAACCACCTTTAGCTTCAGTTCCAGGGTATCTGATGCCTTCCTCTGGCCTCTGAGGACATCTGAACATAAATGGTATAAACACACACACACACATATATTTAAATATGTATTTACTTTGTTTACAGTTGAAAAGTAATAAGCATGGTATGGTAGCACATGCCTTTAATCCCAGCATTCAGGAGGCAGAAGCAGACGAATCTCTATGAGTTTTAGGTCAGCGTGGTCTACATAGGTAGTTCCAGGAGAGCCAGAGCTACACAGTGAGACCCTGTCTCCAAAAGCAAAACAAGGCTGAGGAGATGGCTCAGCAGTTAAGAGCATTGGCTGCTCTTCCAGAGCACCCAGGTTCAATCCCCAGCACCCAACATGGCAGCTCATAACAGTCTGTAACTCCAGTTCCAGGGTATCTGACACCCTCACACAGACATACATGTAGGCAAAAATACCAATTCACATAAAAACTAAATAAATCAATTTGAGAAAAACAAAACAAACAAAAAGGTAGGTAATTGCTGGGCGGTGGTGGCGCACGCCTTTAATCCCAGCACTCGGGAGGCAGAGGCAGGTGGATCTCTGTGAGTTCGAGACCAAGCCTGGTCTACCGAGCGAGTTCCAGGACAGGCTCCAAAACAATACAGAGAAACACTGTCTCGGAAAAAAAAAAGGTAGATAATTATAAAAAGAGAGAGAAGGGGCTAGAGAGATGGCTCAGCAGTTTATAGCACTGACTGCTCTTCCAGAAGATCCAGGTTCAATTCCCAGCACCCACATGGCATTTAACAACTGTCTATAACTCCAAGATCCAACAACCTCACACAGACATATAGACAGGCAAAACACCAATGCACATAAAATAAAATATAATTTTAAAAAGAGAAAGAGAAGCACCGGGCGTTGGTGGCGCACGCCTTTAATCCCAGCACTCGGGAGGCAGAGGCAGGTGGATCTCTGTGAGTTCGAGGCCAGCCTGGTCTACAGACCGAGTTCCAGGACAGCCTCCAAGACAATACAGAGAAACCCTGTCTCGAAAAACAAAAAACAAAAAACAAAAAACAAAAAACAAAAAAAAAAAAAAAAGAGAGAAAGAGAGCCTTTTAATGGGCCTAATGTCACAACACTAGGGGGCAGCACAGAAGGGGATCCTTTGGTTGACTCAAAAATACACTGAACAGCCTGCTGTTACCCTGTCAGAAAGGGGGTAGGCAAGTGTTTGGGGTGTTTGGGGTGTGGCATAATCCTTCATGCAAATGAAAGACTGTATTTGGGCCAATCACAGCACAGTCCATTCAGATGAAAAACCATGTGTATACCAATCACAAGTCTTCTTCTGGGCCTACAGGAAGAAGCATTGACCCTCTAGCCTGGGTAAAAACAACTGAGAATTCACCAAGACTTGCCATGGCAAAGAATTTGGCATAAGCTGTCTGAAACAGAAGAATTTGGAACAGTGCCTTTTGGAACTGGGGTAGTGCTTTGGCAGCAAGCAGCTGTGGTCACAGTGTAGCTTTCTCAAGACATTGGTGAAGTGTTCAAAGCAGCCTGCTGGCATGAGGGCTATCCAGCTGGCTGCCAGATAGGGATTGCTTGGCTAGTAAGCCTGAGCTCAAGACAACCCGGGCAGAAGGGAAGCATCTAACAACTGTCAATTAGAGAATCAAATTGCCCTGGCCACAAACATCTTACTGAGAGAGAGAGAGAGAGAGAGAGAGAGAGAGAGAGAGAGAGAGAGAGAGAGAGAGAAGAGAGAGAAAGAGAGAGAGAGAGAGAGAGAGAGAGAGAGAGAGAGCTAACAGTGAAGGCCTATCATTACCATTAACAGTGCCTTATTTAATGGTATATAGTCATCCTAGCAAGGCCCAACTCCTACCCTACTGTGGTGCCCCAGAGAGAGATGGGTTCCTCTGATCTGCCAGAGTCAGGGAGGACCACCCTTTGTTATCTATAAAAGACTTTTATAGGGTTATTTTCTTGTCCTCATGGTTAAAATACACATTAGAGCCAACTTGAGAGGAATGGTTTATTTTGGCTTGCATATCCAAAGGGCCACAGATCTTCCATTATGACAGGGACAGCCAAGCATAACATGTGGGTTCTTGGTGATAGTAGCTTGTGGGGGGAGGAGTTTTTCACATCGTGACCAACTAAGAAGTAGAGTGCTCAGGGCAAAACCAGAAGCTAACGAAACCTTCAAAGGTCTACCTCTAGTAACCTGCTTCCTTCAGTGAGAATCCATCTCTTAGAGTTTCCACAGCCTTCAACATAGCCAAGCAGCTAGAAACCGAAGCATAGGCTAGGCCCTATGCCCAACCCCTAGTAAGTACTACAGAAAATAATAATGATAATAATGATGATGATATTAGTAATAATGGGAATCACTACCACCATCACCATGACCATCATCATCATCACCATAATCACCATGGCCATCACTGCCACCATGACCACTATTATCACTATCATCATCACCACTACCATGACCACAATCATCATCATCATTACCATGACCACCACTATCATCATGACCATCATCATGACCATCATCAACACCATTATCAAGAACTCTATGATTTATAGTTTCGACTACATTTCTATGGACACCTAGTGAGTGTTTTCCTCCTGACAAATTTGACTTCTCTCTGATTTAAGAGCAGGTGTACACTTTCAAAGCTTTTACTATGTTTTGACAAATTCTGCCTTAAAAAGCTAATGCTGCAGCAGGAAAACAAAATAAAAAACAAACAAGCAAACAAAAGAATGTGAGACCAGTGACTGTTGCAACTATCCACCAACTTTAAAGGGAAAGCCATAGTTCATAGATATGGAAACATTGGCATTAGCTTTTTTATACATGTATTTTTTTAAATGTATGAATGCTCTGTCTGCAAGTATGCCTGCATACCAGAAGAATGCATCAAATCCTATCATAGATGGTTGTGAGTCACCATGTGGTTGCTGATAATTGAACTCAGGACCTCTGGAAGAGCAGCCAGTGTTCTTAACTTCTGAGCTATATCTCCAGCCCCAGCATTAGTTTTTTTTCCCCCCCTGAGACACAGTTTCTCTGTGTAGTTTTGGAGC